TCTCTCAGCAGGGAGCTTCAAACAGCTCAGTTGACTTCCTACCACCCAATACATTCCTCTGTCCCAGACCCAGGTGGCATGAAAGCCGCTTATGCAGCTCAGTTGGACCTGACCTTCCCCATACAGCTGGCAGAACCACCCAGGTCACACACCATCTTGCCCTTCCCCAGCCCCCACACCTTGCCCTTAGTGACTGCTGCCTCTCATGACTGCAGCCCAACAGCACAGAAAATGAAAAACACACGCATTCAAGAAGACCAAGCACCTGGCATCAGAAGAGCTCTAACTGCAGTCACACCCACAGTAAAAATTATAGTCCTATAAATTACATGCAGAACTATAATTTGGTCAAAGTCTTTTTAAGGTTTCCGACCGAGTAAGTTATAGGTTGTAAAGATCATCATAAAGCATTGGAGAAGTTAAAATCTTTATGACCTCGTGAGTTTTCTGATTACTTTTTATCAGCTGTAACTTGTAACGCACACGTATGAGAAGCAACTAGCAGTTGCCAAAGTTCCTGCATACAAATCAGGAAAATTACCTACAGAACAAAACAGACATGGCCAGAATCAGCTGCAAATTAGATGCTATGAAGGGAAGGGAAGGGGCAGCCATGCTTTGCATATCCCTTAACTTGTTGTGCATGCAGTGGACAGGGATAACAGAGGTTCTTTATTCCCCAGTAAAATTTTTTTCTCCTCACCTCCGGGATCCATGTAGGACTGGAAGCAATAGAGATGAATCATACAATATTTGCAAGACTTGCAAAATCTTATCAATTCTGAAGACCAATTTGTGCTAATCAGCCCATATCACAAGCGCAAACGTTAACCCGAAGGAATAGGTAAATGACTGGGGCAACCAGCTGAAATTGAATAATCTCAAAGTTCACTTGTGGCCATGTGACCAAATCTTCACACTCTCCCCTTCTTCCTCCAACTTACTTCCCTCTCTGAAGCCACCATAACAGGATGATGCATCTTGAACTGTAGTTCACCACCTTTGTCATGAGCTCCTGGGAGCAGGCCAATGTCGGCAACCAAACACCAGCTTCCCTCAGGAGCTGGGCAGCTGGTTGCCATTCTCATCCAAGATCTCACAGTCCCCTTCAGAGATGCCAGGCCACTCATGCTGCCACGTCTGCCACTCACCACGGGGCACAGAGCCACTGGTCTGAGCCTTACTTCCTTCTGCTGAGGTTTTCCAGTTTCTTTTCAGCCAGCTCATAGCCCAGGCCAAACATCAACCTAAGATACTACATGAAGAACTGGTGGGGCAGTACATAGCTACACTTCTGAAGTTACAGGAAATACCCTCAGGGGATCCTCATTTATTTTTCCTTTACATCTAACTGATTATCAGCATCAAATATGAAAAGCCAGTATTTTCCAGGAGTATCAGCAAACCGACGTCATTTCAGTGGCTCTGTACGCAGTATATAGAACTGAAAGGAGTAAAGTTCAATTTTAATTGTGCAGTTGATACTGTGAAGTAAACAAGTGCTTTCTAAGGATTTTTTCTAAGGATTTCTAAGGATTTTTAAAAGAGATTTTTAATCTTTTGAGACGGCTTAGCATGAGAATCAAATTTTGCTTTCAGTTATACAGACATAAATCTGGAGAAACTCTGATAATCTCAAAGCAACACCAAACTTTTCCTTTTTTGCTGAAACTCTGAGATTGTGCAACAGAGGAAATGTCAACAATCGAGTAACTCCAGACTTTGAACATGGCTAGTGAAACTACTGCTTTGACTGTGTGAACCATCTTTTCTTCCGCAAGCTAGTAATGCAATAAATCAATTACTTCACAGAAGAATCCCAAACTTTTCAATAGGATCCAGAAAAAGCAACAATTGTTTTCCAAAGCATATGCTGAACTCCTAGTTTTAAACCAGTAAAACTTTCTAATAGCCCACAATTTCAGACTGAAGCAAAACTTCACAGCAAAGTAAAACCAGAGATTTATAATGTGTACGTTAACCCGTCTTTAACTGCAGCAGCACCTTGTAGTGTCATATTGTGTTCTTTGTATAACCCATTGCTCCACTTTGTAAATAAAGTTTTGACATGCTCTAAGATTTTTGAGCATCATCTGTTATTTAGAGACTTTCTTTTATTCATAAACTCTCAAAAAATATGTGTTTTAGGGGAGAGGGAAACTCAAAGGAGATCCACAGTTACTTAACAGCCTAATTTCTAGGCTAATTTAGATCCACAGTTACTTAACAGCCTAATTTCTGGCACTAGTCACATGAAGACAAATCAAGACTTTAGATGCTCTTCTCCTCCAAACAGGGATTTTGCAAACTTACCAACAAACAAGATTCTAAAATGCTGCTGTCTGCGAACAGTAGGGTAACCTGACAACTTGCTCTGTATCTATTATTGCAAAAAGGACAGCAAAGAGTAGGATTCTTCTCACCTCATTTTAGCCATTTAAACTAAACAGTCGGCACCTTTTCTCAGCGAGTCATTGGAGCTTCCTCTACAGCCAACAGCATGAGACTACCACCAATTTTAGCATGGAGAAAGGAACAGTGAAGGTGGCATCGAAGCTGCTGATTGCAGAGTCCAGATCACTAGTTTATGGTAGATGCCAAGGTCTGGGAGAATCCCACCGTGACACATCCAGTAGTATGCATGGGATATAGCAGACACCCATATGGAAAACTGCTGGCTTGACTCCCACAGCAAAAAGGTTCCACTAATTGCAACACAGCCCTAGTCCTGCAGAGGAGCAGGAAGAGGGGGCTGGTCCCTGGCTCCATCAAATGGAGGACCAGGGAATAAAGGAATCTGAAAAACAGCAAAAAGATATAACAGCTCATAACACAAGGTGCAACTAATAATGTCCAACTTTTTTACTAAAATACTTAAGTATGGGAAACCTTAATGAAATTTCAAACACTCTGAAATATCAAGGGGTTAGGCTTACCCCTGGCCTCTATCCACTTGCCTTACTTCAGCACAATTGGACTCCAGTGACCTGACCTTTTTTTTCCAAACCAAAAAGTATTATTTATTTGCTTCACTGTGATAACAAGTTCCCCTCAAATATTTTCTTTTTCTTTTCCACAAATCCAAATGAAAAATTAAAACTATAGCATTAATTGCAAACACCTAGACAAAGTAAATTTAGGGAAAACATAAAGATTTTCCTAGTTTGTCACAGGTTCTCTCTGATGCTTCCGACATTTTTGCTCTCTGGTATTTTTGAAGCTGCACTGTGTTTCATAAGGGGGTGACTTTTCCTTATTTATCAATCTTGCACAATGAAACACTTAGTACAGAAAAAAAGACTTCCTCAAGGTCGGTGCATCATTGATGGCTTGATTTGGAAGAGACAGTCTTGGCGAGCTACACCCGAAAATAAAGTCATCTGGGGAGGCATTCAAACACTCATCATCAGATCTGAGCAGCTTGCTGGATAAAATCTGTAGTGTCTTGAACCATCTATTTTAGCACAGCTTTTAAGTGCTGACTATGCCAGTGGACACACAATTAAAATGAACGGTCCTGAGTGTTTTGTTTCCTGATTTCATATGGAAATGAGGTGCCTCTTATAACACTGAATCTGTCAGTCAGCTCCCGGCAAACCTGACAGAGGGAGAAGACTTCTCAAAAATAATTACGCTCCCTCAAGCTCCGTGACCAGCTGAGGTAACAGCAGAAAAGACCTAAATTAAAACCTTCAGGATGGAAAGCTGGCAGAGTGGTGTACAGCCTGCTTGGAGGCCTATCGCCGCAGCTTACTAACCTGGCCACGAGCATCCATGTCACCCTCAGCTCGTGCACTCCACGCTGCTCCGGGGGTAGACTTGGTTTCAAGTCTACCTCTCAAGCTGAGAAGGACACGGACATTTTCAAGAACTATCTCAAACCCACAGCTCTTCTGCCCACAGAACTCCTTTTTTTCTTTTTCTGTTATTTACTGGCTTCCACAAGTTTGATGAAAAGACCTTCATGAGCAGCTACCCATTCAATGGAAAGTGGATGCCCTTCGGTGTTTCCTAAAATTGAACACTTTCACGAGTTGAAATTCCAGGAAATTACCGATTATCATTTTGATCTCTTTAGGATTAAACTCTAGGAGGTTTAACTAGTATAGCAAGATAAGAAAACAAATCCGAAGAAAGCATGTTTTAAAGAAGATTTAAAGCCTTCCAAAAACCAAGCCTTGGTAAGTTCAATGTAGAGTTGAATCTGACGCAGCAGAACCCCCTGCAACCCTTTCATGTATGTGAGATCTGTATCTTAATCTTCATTTTAGACAGTCCCAAATCAGACTGCTACCCTTCGTAGCATTTGAGGCAATTATTTTAAATAACTAATTTTAAGCTGATTTATTACATTTTTAACTCTGAACATTCATCATTCTGCAAACAGCTTAATGGGAGATGACCTATACCTTGACTTACGCATTTCACAAAGGTCCTCCTCTAAAACTGTCTGCCAATCACAGTATTTAAATCCTTTGAAGTTTACTTCTTGTTTTCCAGACATTTGGATTAAAAGTCCACATTGTATTTTGTTAATACGTTGGGTTCACAGCTGAGGTACCATAACTTTCGTAGGGAAAAAGTTGCTACTACAGCATTACATTTCTCATTTCTGTTCCCTTGAATAGCATCACCTAATTGGCTGTTTATCTGTAATAACAGAAATGGATGCTATTTTTTTTTGTAAAAAAATGTGTAAATTATACCAATACAAAGCACACACAGGTTTGTATTTACCACTGAGGTAAGCAAGCTGTACACAGCAGCTCTAACAAATGCCAGAGTTGTGAGGGAATGTAATGATGCTCATGACAGAGAAGCAGTTCATTTTACCCTCTTCAGCACACAACTGGTAGGACAACAATAATTAATTTCCTTTTTTCAGGGTTTTTCAAAGAAAAATGGTTCAGTTTCTAGTACGCCTGGCTGCCACAGACCAGGCCAACTTGCAGTTCAAGTGAATCTGAATGTGAATTTTGAAAGCAGAATCCACTACACGCTGCAGAATTCAAGTTTTCTTTTATTAGAATAGAAAAAGAGAGGTGAGAAACAACAGCAATAAAACTGGAACTTTGGATGCATTCTGACACAGAAGAGTTACGAAAAGCAACAAAGCTTTCCTCATAGTACTGCAATAACCTATATATTATCAATGAATAATGAGATGACAACTTTACTCCCTATATATGATAAATAGACAACATAACCTGGATCATTGTGGAAAGCCATTATCAACAAAATCCTACGGAAAGAAATTAAGTCTGCCTCATCTCTACCAGTTCACCTAAGATTATATTTGGGCAGCTAAAACCCAACATGCTTTCCCAAAAATTATTTTAGTTGGGTTACCTAGTTTGTGGAAAGGATTTTGTCAAAGGAACTTAAGCAGAGGTTTTTTCAGACAAGCCTATCTCCAACAACTCTTGCAGCATAAAAATATAGGAAGGACATAAGCAGTTGGTGTCATAGAGCTCTTCTACGCTTCATACTCAAGTATTTTAAGATCTTCAAGTAGTTCTTTTGCAAGTGCTTGCAGATCTGCATTGCGGCTCTTTGACAGTGCAATGATACGCTGGAATGGCAAAGTATCACGCATCTCAGAGGCTGACTTGGATAATACTTCTGGCTCCAGGATCACAGACTGGAGCAGCCGCAGAGCATGAAGACAAACTTCTGTATCCGGGTCTAAAAGTGGGGGAGGAAAAAACCCAGTGCTTATTAGAAGTGAGTCCAAAAAAGTAGCGTTAAAGCTCTACAGTGCCATTCCTCATGAGCCACCAGGCATTCAGGGAATAACTGAAGTTTCATAATTCACAGCTGGCATTTGGTGCTGGCTGGCTCTAAAAGGAACCTGAAAACACCACCTTTGCCCTCCTCGGCAGCATGTGCTCAGGAGTGTTTGGGAGTGAGAGACAACCAGGAACCTTTCTCTCATTGTTGAAATGTTGAAAGTGCTATAAATGAGGGAATTTATCAGCTTGAATTTATCCAGTCAGTAGCCAAGATGCACTGTTGGATGGGAACCAATTTAAGAGCAGAACAAGCTATAACCCATGACTCTTCAGTCTTAAAAAACAAACAGACCAACTAATCAAATCTGCAGTAAATCACTAGGCTTTTCTTTAAGTTCTTTTTATGCAAGCCTTCAGATTTCTTCAAAGCTCAATGAAATATTAATCTTTATAAAAGTTTCTGGTAACCATGTATCAACCTTCCAAGTGTTTAATTCAGTTTACACAAAATTGAAATGGGTACTGAAGCTAAGCATTGCTGCTTAGGAATGCGTCAGAGAAATGTAGCAAAGACCTTTGACTGACTTAAGCTAGGAAGACATATAATAACTCTACTGTTAAGAACACGGGATGCATTTTTAATTACTGAAACATTAGGAGCATTACATTTTAATCATTCACAACAGTCCATTTGCATGTAGTTGTTTATAGCTTTATCAAAAGCATCTGGTACAAAGTCCCGGTTTTGCACTTCTCTCTGCTGCATATTCCAAATGAAAATGTATAATATATTTTTATGGCTGAAGTAGTTATTTGTTCCACGTGCCATGCATTTCTTATGTGTTTGTCATTAGCATACCTAGTCTTCAGCAAGCTTTTGGTAAAGCGCTGTGCAGAAATGTTGAGAAAAATTAATGCAGATCACTTTGCACACAAAATCACCAGAGACCAAAATCTCACTGAAGGAGCATAAATGCAGTGCAGCGATAAACCACACTGTGCTGAGTTTGAAGGAAGCATTTGGTGGGCTGAACTAAGTTCTTTCCTTTCCTGGCTTACTTAATACCTAACACTGGAGACCTGAAAAAGGACTAAGAAAATTATTCATTAAAGCATAAGGGGAAATGTTGAAACCTCCGAGGGAAGAAAACAGAATGTGATCAACGGTGAAGAAGACTGTGGCTTAAGCATGAAACTGACTGTCAAGACAGGAATTTTTAAATAATTCCCACTAGCACATGGCTGAAGTACAATATTAAACACTGTGACATCTGACCTACACCACAAGCCAGGCACTATCTCCCTGTTCCTCAATTTTCCATCGTAAATGAGATATGTAGGTCTTTTCTACCATGCCTTCCTCCCTATTTACAGTGTAAACCTCTTAAGAAAGGAATTCTACTTCATCCTGGGAAACTAGCAGAGTGGGGTATAATCTGAAGACACAGAAATTGTCCAAAACCAAACAATAACATGCATTTTCTGACTTTTGGTGCAATGAGAGTCTTAGCTATTGGGCATACTGGACAACTTTAGACATTCAAATCAGCATTTAAAAAAACCCCAGTGATTAGTGCTGTACATGCCACAGAAGTGGCCATACCCTGAGCACAGCCACTTACATTGCTGCCACCTAGGCTGGAGGCTCTCAGGAGCCATCATCACCTCCAGCAGTACCTGCAGGTGCAATTTTCTGACTGATGAGCACTTGTAACTCATGGAGAAATGCTGCAACTCAGCCTCACAGGCAGCAACACTTTCTGTCGAATTTCTTGGGCAGCAACACCTCAGTGAATCCTTCTGAAAAAAACTTGGGTGCAAATTTCGGTTTTCAGATTTATTCTGACCTAATCAAAATATGACTAAAAGCCTTGAATTTGCCCTCCCATTCCTTCAATTTTTGTCTTCATGCCTGCCAGAGAGTTTTTTTTAATTCCTTCCCCCCCCCCCCAGATATAATGGTCAAACTCTGCACATACCACCTGCCTCCTTTCTCTGTACTTAGAATTATTCTATGTTTATTCAGCAGAAATAGCAGCAACAAGCCATAGCACAAATATGTATCAAGAAAGCTTTTGGGAGTGAAATCTATCTAATTCATTACAATCTTCCTCCGTGAATAGGAGGATATTTCTCCATGAAATAAAGCCATTAATGCTTTTAATGGCTTGCAGTACTGCTGGGAAGCTTCATGTATGTAAGATGTTTTAAATCCCTGGATGAAAAGTGCTTTGTTATTAATACTGTTAAAGGCATCTACATTACTATTATCTGCAAGTTTAAAGGCTGTAGAAAGTAAAGAATTGATCAGGGAAGAAACGTTAGCAGGGGAGCTAACAAAATTAGGATCTGTAGATCAGGAAATGATTTCCAGCTTGACGAGCAAGAACATTTTCCAGTAAGAGCAAAGAGGTTCTAGGAAGAATCTCCAACAGCAGCCAGGGAAGCTCAACGGCTTGAGTCACTCAAATGAAGAACAGATTAGGCAGCAAAGGAAGGAAATGATCCTACACCAGAAGACAACTTAATACGCATTTAACCTCTGATTGCCATTGTTTTGCATGTATTTTGAGACTCTTCGAGTTAAATAAATACATATGTCTTAAAATATACTCCCTTAGGATTACATGTGGTTTTGAGAATACTACTTATTACAGATAATCATGTTTTCTAAGAGGATTTTAAAAGAAAATACCCTAGGAGTCTTTCTCTTGTCTCTCCAGTATCATTAGGGATTTTTTTCTAAAAACCCCATCTAAAGAATACTCAGGAGAAACATAAAGAATCCTCATTATTCAGCATTATATTTATTTCAATAACTTCCAGATTTAGTAATTTCTATGCTAGCTGAATAACATTTTGTTTGTACAAGATCAAAAAACATCCTTTAGCTGTAATCAAATCACTGCATCATATCCTCCCCAACAACTAGCACACACATCTCTTCAACTAAAACTTCAAAACTGCAATCATTATTTCTGGGGAACGGGGAACTATCAAGCTGCTTGCCTCAGTGGGGGACCACAAGCGTAGCGTGAGCCTGCCACCATCATAAAAAGCTGAGGCTTTTTTAACAGGATATTGAAACTGCTGGCATTTGCTGACGTTCTGCTAGCTGCCAGCACCACCGTTTGATGTCACTGCCTTTCAGTCACTGACAAAAGCAACAGATAACGTGGACAGATTTTAGTCACATCTGTCATTAGCACCATGCTCGCAGATGAACTGTCCCCTACAGCAGGGTTCAAGTAATTGCATTACATCAGTGCTAAACAGCTTATCTACAATTGGCTCTGAGTTCTGTGAACTCAATTTACACGTGCCCATACCATTCCCTGGGCACCTGAACTCAAGATTTATTACCAGCAAGCTGTTTACAGCTATGTCCAAGTACAAAAGCAGTATTTCAAAAGCTTCCCACCGCTGTTGTAAATGTCATTCAATCCTGTTACTGTCTGATTCTAGCACAAAGGGGCGACCTGCCACTCCCACTTTTCCTTTTTTCAGTGTCCAGTTTTTTTTTCAGTTTTCCAGTATCTGCAACAGCAAAGAGTTTTCCGGACATTTTCATAACACTGATAGGTCTGAGGAGACAAGAAGTGTTGCAATAAAGACACCACGTGGGGAAGGAGCAGGGAAGAACAATGTGACAGACAACAAAAGACTGATATTTGCTGCTGCAATTCCTACGGATGCAAATGCACTTTCTCTCTGCAACATATTTGCCCCAGCTCCTGCAGAACAGCTCAGTTTGCCTCGGTCTCTTCCTTGGCCAGGTGATTGCTCTCGCTGTCAGACATGGAGCTCAGCTAACCAGAATTCCCCACTCTCCTACAGGCACACACTTGTCACACTTTTAACAAGGAAATCCTTGAGAGACTCAGAGGGTCCAGATGGAAGCAGCAATTTGGTCTCAATTTGCCTGACTGCTCCTCGGGGGCTGCGAGTGAAAAGGAGCTTGCCCAGACCATGGCTCTGCAGCTGGCAGGTTGGTGGTTGAGCTGTTAGATACCTGCTCCAGCTCCCATCAATCCTCACTTGGGTTTCTGAGAATTCCCACCATAGCTACTTGAAGGAGAGTAACAATCTAAGCACAAACCAACACTTTACAGCGACAGATGCATTTAGTAGAAGTAAGGTTTCTCACACCTATTTACAAAGGGAGAAACGCCGCGTTCCTCAGGAGAACATCAGTTTGCCTGAGCCTGCTGTTGGGCAGGGCAAGGACCTAGTCAAGAAACTCCTGCTCAGATGGCAAGGACAGCCACACCGTGCTCAGCTGATTCTCCATTGGGGCAAGTGTCATTTGCAGCAGCTGCTTAGGGAAGAGTGGAAAAGGGCAAGCTGTGGACTTCCCCTGTTGCTGTTGGGCAGGGCAAGGACCTAGTCAAGAAACTCCTGCTCAGATGGCAAGGACAGCCACACCGTGCTCAGCTGATTCTCCATTGGGGCAAGTGTCATTTGCAGCAGCTGCTTAGGGAAGAGTGGAAAAGGGCAAGCTTTCAGTGGACTTCCCCTGGCCACTCTTCCAGCCCCTCAGCTAACTGTGGCCCAGGGACTTTCTGCATCAGAGCTGACATCTTTGCATTTAAGAACATGGATACGGTCTTAAAGGGCAAGGGCAATACCCCTCTGAAGATTAGTTTCACAGTCTGAAGAGAAGGCAACTGCTGAGCACTTGAAAGAGTGGTAACTGAGGTTTTGATTTACGAACCAAAATTTGTTTTAATACAGGCGTTAGTTTATAAATAGGGGGCTTCTGTTTGTCCAGATGTCTTTGAAATAACATACTGCCATGCAAATAGCCTGAACTTTCAAAAACTCTCACAGCCACAACCAATTCAAACAGAAAAGCAAGGCATTAGAAACCTTAAGAGTTAGTCATGAAAAGCAAATATTGAAGGTTGCAGGCGGCATTAGCAAAATGAGAATGTGCTTCATACAGGCATTTATAATAGAGACCGTCATTTGCAAAGAATTTGGATAAACAAGGTTAGATTTCCGTGTGGAACTGTGGTGGAGGAAACTGAAGGGCAAGATCTAAAATTAGTCATACTTCTTGTGTTGTCTTTTGTTTAATGAAGTACCTGGAGCAATTTCCCAGCTATAGATAAGAAATATCAGTAACATAGTCTCTCTGAATTCCACACTTTCATGTATCCAAGGAGAGCAACCTATTGCATTCAAAGAAAAGTGGGGGAAACCGAAATAAAGACACAGCATAGAAAAAAAAAACCACACAACCAAAAACCCAGAGAAGAGCCTAGACCCATTTTCCCCAGCACCCGTTTGCTGGCAGATGTTTTATATGATCAAAAATTAAAAACCTAAATCTAGTCTTTATTATTAATACCTAAGCTGACTGCATCTTCTTGTTCTTCAAAAGATCCTTGGCAGAAAAAAGTCCCAGTCTATCTCTTTGAGAATTACAGAATGAAAGTCTTACTGCATCTGTAGATATAAAGCACCAGCAAAAATATTGACAAAGCTCAGGTGGATTTCTACCCAAAGTTACATAACTTTTTTTCCTATTACTGAGGATGAGGCTTCTTTAAATCTGAAATTTATGTGAAACCCTTAGCCAAGACATCAACACAGGGTTAGCAGCTGATGGAGAAAACTAAAGCTGCCTATTTTCTCCAAGATGGGAGCAGCTGCTCTGCAAACAAATGGTGCTCCACAAGAGACCTCTACTGATCCCACAAGCTGCTCCACAGCCAGAAACCTGAGTCATCATCCATGTGTTTTATGCTGGCATCAAGCTGGGAAGGTAGAGGTAGGCACAGCTGATACAACAAAATATAACAGCTAGGTAAGCTATCAGGGTATCTTCTTCAGTGATCAGTGTCACTTATTAAATGGTGCCCACCTTTTGGACACCGTTTTAAAAGGCAGGGGGGGAAAAAAAAAGAAAATAAGAGCTCAGGTCTAAAACTACAGAGATCTGTATTACCTTCAAAAATGTGCCAAACATTTGTTTTCCTCCTAGTATCAGCATAGCCTCCAGCAGAATGAGCTATTAAGAATTCTTGTTAAGGAGTGTGAAGTTCCAAATTTTCAAAAGACATGATGAACCCAATTTTCTGTTAACATTCTTACTCCACTAGAAATTTTATTAACTTTTTCCTCCTTTCTCTTCCAGTCCATGTATTCAATGTCAAGGCATATTTTTCTCTCTTCAAAAAGCCTGCTAGACAACCTGAATCAAATCCCTCTTTGCTTCGTATATAACAAAGCGCAACAGAGAAAATCAGGTTAATTATTTGCTCTCTTCACTTAATGGGAAAGACACTCTGCTTCAGGGGACACGACTGGGCAGAGGCTGAGCATTCAGAAAAGGAATTTGAGGGATTCATCAGTTGCGTACAAGCCAGTGGGAGAAAAATGGCCTTGATGTACAGGCTGAGGTCACAGACACTTGTAGATTGATGATGGAAAAGCAAACAGGATGATTCTCTGAAAATAAATTAAAAAAAAAAAGTAAGCAAACAGGATGATTCTCTGAAAATAAATAAAAAAAGCCAGGATGATTTCTGGGGCCTCTCTTAGTGGGAATGCTGATAAAAGCTTACAGAACTGTGGAAAGCTGAATCATCTCATAAGCCTTAATCAAAACACTCTTTGAAGAAGCTTCCTGCAGGAAGGCAGCATATACAGGATACCCTGCCAGCAGAGTGTAGTGCTCTATTCTATTGCATGGAAAAAACTGTTAAGACCTTATGCTGTAGCAGCTCCAGGTGTTTATAAGCTGAATCATGGCTAGCAGAAGCTGAAGACGCTGGCCATGGAAACAGGAGAGGAGCAAGAGTGGGAGGAAGCTACCAAGTTTTGCAAGTTGAAACACTTAGAAATAGACTAAATGTAGAGAAAACTACAGAGATCTCATACAAAATGTTGGGAACAAGAACAGGTCTTGGATCTGATCTCTCATCTGATATACAAACTAGTCAGCTCTCTCCCTTGACAGTAAGAATTCCTCCGAAGACAGAAAACTGAACCAGCAGACATGGTTTATCTCAAAATCTTCCTCCTCTGCTGTAACTGGAGAATGTAACAAAAAGTGAAGGAATTAGCCATGCCTGTCCTTCCTTCTACAACCCAGCCATACAAAATTAACACTTTCAAAATGCAGAGTAGCCTTTCCATTTCTTATTTCCATTAGTGCCTGCAAATCAATTATAGCTGTGCCCCATTTCATCCTCTTATATGACCTAGGAGCTTTCTTCAAACAACAGACTGCATCAAACAATTAGCCTCTTTATCACATTTAGAAGGGCACATTCTAACTCATAGGTAGGGCTTTCAGGGTGTTTTGGTATTTATTTTTTTTTGGCTAGAACAACAGTTTATGTATATACGAGTCAAATATAAAGTAAAAGGAAAATCTGGACTAACGTATGTTAAATTTCTAAGCATGGCAGAACAAAGGACCGTGTATTCAGAGTTGTGTGAGAATACAATTTTTCTCAAACTATATTAAAAGAACTACAAAACTGGTGTTTTCCAACAGTCTTACTAGGATTACTTAATTTTCTGGGATTTCAGAAGAGAGAGCCTATGGCACTGCAAAGCAGGAAATTACTTGGTGAAAAGCATGAGTACCTACATTTTCTGTAAAACAGTTGAGGGAACTATGAGCAATACAAGCAGCTTCCAGCTTCCCAGCCCAAATCAAAGCTTTTCTAAAATTTCAGTATCGAATTAATTCCTTGAAAAAAGCAGATGCAACCTCCCTCACTGCAGCTGCTGTTAGCATTTACTAGTTGTGTTTTAGCAGGGTTTCGCATAGCAGCCCAGAGCGCCGGGATGACTAACCTCCCCAGCCCTATGAACTGCCTGCCAACATCTCCTCACGGAGAAGCCACAAGAACTTGAGAAAGCCAAGACAGAGCAACTCTAGGAGCAGTTCACAGCCAGGACAGCGTCACAGCTCTGTCCTTACTGCTGTCCTCGCTGTCCCCTACAAGCTGTACACACAGCTGCCAGCCAAGTCCAACACACACGGGCAACGTCAATCTCTGCTGGCTCCTACGCAGGGATTTGAAGCCTCCGAAAGAGCAGAGCCTTGATGTCACTCCCGCACCTGACAGTGGCAACAAAAGTCCTTGATGCCCTTGAAGTCCTGCACTGGCCCAAAGGCAAAGCTGGGAATAGTACTCAAGCCCAAATCCTATTAGGGCACAAGGCTTCTCTTCAGCTGTAGAAGGCGTCACTTTGGTCATGGGTCGGTGTAATTACAGAGGTTGGCTTCTTTCCCCAAAACGCGTCAGAACAGTGTTCCATCTTCTCTTGCGAAATGGTAGTTTCCCCTCAGGGTTTATTTTAAAGTTGGTATGTGAAAATACAGGTGGCTCCTTTTAATCCACTTCATCAAATTTCTCCATCCCCTATTTTTAATTCTACCATCCATAAATTTTATATTAATGGAATATTACATACAGTGCCAAAAGTGTTGTGGGAAACGCACAGCTCCTCCCTCTAGCTATTTGTCCTTTTTGTTTACTTTCAATCTGACAAAAGGTGTACATACTCAGGTTACAGATATATATTTGTGTTATTTGCAACAACTATTGCCAATCTACAATCCCCAAAGTCAAAATTTACAAGATTCTTAGAGCAACTTACCGTTCAATAGCCACCAAAGCAACGGAAAAAATCCTGGATTTTCACTGATGTACTTCAAGCCTTTCAAGTTGATACTCACGTTGTAAAGTGACATTAGCATTAGCCTAGAATTGAAATAAAAAAAGATCACAGAATCATAGAATGGCTTAGGTTGGAAGGCCCCTTAAAGATCACCTTGTTCCAACCCCCCTGCCACGGGCAGGAACACCTCCCACTAGACCAGGTTGCTCAAAGCCCCATCCAGTCTGGCCTTGAACACCTCCAGGGATGGGGCATCCACAGTTTCTCTGAGCAACCTGTTCCAGTGTTTCACCAGCCTCACAGGAAAGAATTTCTTCCTAATATCTAATCTAAATCTCCCCTCTTTCAGTTTAAAACCGTTACCTCTTGTCCTATCACTCCACTCCCTGATAAAGAGTCCCTCCCCATCTCTCCTGTAGACGCCCATTATGTATGGAAAGGTCACTAATATGGTAGATGATATCATAGAGGATATGATCTCCCTTGATTTCTTTGCATGTTTTCGCACCTTTTGCTATTTATGCCAAGCATGTACTGATACAGAAGCCTACTCTAATAATTTATATTTGGATAAAAGAGACAAGTCTCAAATTACATATAAGCAATGTTGTGCAAAACCTTTTTTCTACTGCTAAATCGCATATTTCAAATATGTGAAATATATCTGAAAAATATCCCATGCAAGAGTAAGAAAGTCTCATCAAACTCCACTAGATTCATTACAGGAGATGTGCAAAATCGGCTTTACGTGACCACACAACCCATAAAATCGAGCTTTCATAGTGACAATCCCCCACTGGGCAGACGATCATCTCAAATAAGCTGTTTGTCCTGACAAATAATAGGGCTGCTTGGAAACACAGAAAGCAAGACTTGCATTCCAAGTACTAGACAAGCCAAAGGAAGCCTCTGCTCCATCAGTTGTGCAACACCAGACTTTCCACCAGCCTTTCTGGACAGCTGACCCTCCGGTCAGCTGAAACACAGACACATTGCCTGTGCCATCCTCTTCCGTGTATCCTCCTGCAAAGGGGAACAGATGCAATACACAGCCAGTGTACAGCAAACACTAATACAGCCTCTCTCGCTGGCAGGGGAAGGTACTACAGAAACATTTGGAAGAAGGAGACAGGCCTGAAGGAAGGAAAAGGGAAATATTAGTAGTCCCAGCTCAGCTTACACACTCCTCCCTAAGCTAGATTTGTCCCTTCTGCTGTGGGTGCAAGGCAGAGAACCAGCCTGCTCTCCAGCCCCCTGCACTCAGGCATCTGGGCTATCGAGTGAGACCCTGCTGTGGGAAAAAACAACTGCTTCTCTCCTAAAATGTCGTCATGGACTTTCCTATTTACTCTGCCTTCAGGAACTCAGATTGATTATGTTCAATGTACACATGGAATATTTTTTTTTTTTAAGTCAATAACCCTGGAATTCAATTTGGCTGTAATCTGTGCTCTTGTCTTAGTGTAGGTCAACACCGGGATAACATAGACCAAATGATACTCTCACCCACATCTCTTCAAAACTATTCAAAACAAAATTTGTGCCCACTCAAAACCATATTTTATTTTATTTTTCCAGAAGGTGATTTCTTTAGGGCTTTTATTATGGTCATCGATGTTGAAGGAGGACAGAACCCATATCCTGTCTTCCAGGTAACAGAAAATGTTTATGACCTGGCAGCTAGAAAACATTTCCTTAATTGAGCATTGAAAAAAACCTAAGGTGACATCTCTGACAAACCAAAACCAAGACTGACCCTTGCATGTCAGTGTATAAACAACAAAATAAAAACACACATACTAAGTATATGTTCATCTCAGCCACATTTTCAAAAGCTTCCAAACCCAGGATTTCCTCATTTATCAGCCTCCTAAAATAAAGTTCATTAGTCATTTTGGGGCTGCATACATCACGGGTTATAAATTAAACCAACATCTCAACTTTTCTAGAGAGAAAAACAGGTAGGCTAAAGAAGGCTCTACATTTGAAAAGGACTATTCTAGCCTGCCCATTCCACCAGCTCCTCCCAGGGCGGCTCATGCTGAAGTCACTGTGAACATGAAAAGCTTCACTATAATCAGTACCTTGCAAAATCTGATACCCACCAAGGAAAGTGGGTTCCACTACAGGTAACCCCTCAGCCTTAGCTGTGACAGAGCTGAGGCCATGCTGTAAGGTAGGGGAAATGGCAGTTTGGCCTCTTTATGCAGATAAAGTGCCTAGGTCAAAATTTACTTTTAGCTGCTTTTGACTGGCAGACAAGTATGGTAACTTGGAGCTCAAAAAGAGCGTCCCTTCCAAAGCTATCCAGAACAGTCACTAGTACTCTATGCAGAGCATTTCGTTGGGATTAAGTCTTCCGCAGTCTCTGCTGAACTAAATTCTGCTTTCAAGCATTTGATGTTACACTGTCTTCCACATTGCTGATACAAGTTTTTATGAGTTTAGTGGATAAAACTCTTTTTCAGCTAGGCACAGTCTCAGTGGGTTTAATGCGAATTATTTCAATTTCCCTCTTGCAGCAGGAATGGGACCTGATGGTCAAAAGCAGAAAACATCCAGAAAGAAAAAAGCCCCACTGACATTAGCAAGTCAAACTAATGCTTTGCCTCTTAGAAAATCAGATCACTGCTGTACTATGAACTTCAACCCAAGAGATCCCTATGTGCCTGGAAAAAGACCTATACCATACTTCGGAGTCAGAAGTTGTCTTACAAACAAATTCTTTCACCCTTCTAGCAATCTTCTCCTATCCTGGCTTTTATGCAGATCATCTTTACAGCTGTGGAGCAGCCGCAGGGAGAAGGCATCAATGCACTTTATGATGCGCTGTGATGGGTGCCATTACTTTTATTTCTTTCCAAAGATGGTAACATGCAAGTCAATTTGCTGGACAATGGAATGGGAAGATGAACGAGCAGAGCTCCTGTAAGATTTATGGAACGTGTCATCATACCAACTCACACCAGGGTGCTGGGTTTCAAACGAAACCAGCTTGGCATCTCCTATCTTGCATGACTGCTATAAACCTGCATGTCACTGCACTGCCACCATTTCCAAACCAAAGGGAAATAACATTATTCCATATGGACTTCACACCTCACATCCTATTCTCCAACAGGTTCTCATGGCTTAAGTTGCAGAACTCAAAGTGCAGCTTGTAAAGCCCAAACGCTTCTTTCCGTGCAGCCTCTGCAGCTCTTAATTGGCTTCCAGAGCCCAAGCCCAAAGCCCCAGAATGAAAATTATCAATAAAACAGTATCTTCTAATGGAAAGTGTTAACATTTCTTGACAACGTCTTCCATCCTTAATCTGTTTGACATTTGCAGTTAGAAGTAAAGTGACGTAAAAAGATACTGCTAATGTTTGTATTTTTATTTCACCTGTTTGCTTTGTGCAGACAAAAGGGCCTGGTGATGGTAATCCAGAAAAGTGCTGTGGTTTTGGAGTGTCACAAGAAGATATAACCCACCCCACAAGCCAATGTAGTAAAATATTATTACTAATTAAACACACTCAGCTCAGTACATCATCAAAGCATTTCCAAGCCCTTTATACCACCTTAACCTCTAGTACTTGCACATTCTAATAAGAAATTTTTTTGCAATAATTATTGCAAAAATGCTTATTGAAGCAGACCTGACACACACAATTACTTAATAAACAACACTTTCTGGGTTTTTTTAATGTGGAGGGCTTTTTAATTGAGCACTTCATAGACTTCCTATTTAGGCAAGCAAAACTTAATTACCATCTTATACTACTATATCTGTCAATGCTTTCTTTAAAATCTAGAACTAAAAGCACAGCTAAAGCCCCTTCTTGTCTGCTTAATACATGAAATTAGTACATAAAATGTGCTAGTATGTACTAAAGTATGTATTTTTACTGCCTACTTTCACCTGCAACATAAGTTGAAGATTCCTAACAATTTAATTATAGGTACAAACAATTGTGTAAATGTTTATTGACTGCCTAACAATTACAAATGTTGAACAAACCCTGTACCAATGAGAAGAAAACCTCAAGTCTTCACACCACTGTTATTTCAGAAAGGCAGACACCCATGAGATTTAAGTTCCAGCACTCACATAGAATGCCTTGGATATACTTATTACATACTCATGGACTACAATGGATATTGTAGCAGTGCTGGAATAAATGACAGCTTTTCCCTGTAAAATTTGTATTTATACACCAGTACAAGTAAAACACAGGATTGCTGGAACTAGAAGATGAAAACAAACTCCTACCTTTATCAGCTGACTTTCTTTTATACTGCTGTGAGTAGAATTAGACCCACAGTTTTCCCTGATCTCTCACTCAATAAAGAAAAATATTTTTGAAAATAAAAGCTATAAAAGAATTGCAAAACCTCAAAACCGAGCAAAGAACAAACATATCCTCAAAAATAACAAGCCAAATTTTTTATTTAGGTGATTAAATTTTAAGTTGATTATGTCCTTTCATGTAATACCACTGTGATGTTTTGAGAAAAAACACATTGCTTATCCAAAATAAGGTACAGACATTTTCATCCATGAGGTATAGTTTTAAAACTGTCTGTGTGCATGTATATAAGTATGCGTGTAAACATTATTTATAATGACTCCAGAGTATGTCTATACATAACTTTGAAATTTCCTATGATTTCTGTTAACTATCATATCCTTATCTCACAATTGTCTTTCATGTTGTACTGCCTTATGTTCCTTACGGGAGGGAGAAAAGGGAGTTCTTCTGATACATCTGCTTATAAGAACATTGATTACTTAATTTTTTGAAAAACAAACAAACCAACCCACCTCTAAATCCCTTCTTTGCTGGGCTGGGAGAGTGGGAAATCCCCAAAAAGGACAGGAAAGAGATCCAGTGTTAGTAACAGGTTTTAAGAACTGAATAGTGACAAGACATGCAGGGAGCTCATAGACAAAAAGGAAACCTGACCACAGAGATGAAAGACAAACACAGGGGAAACATTTTGCACTACAACATTTGAGCAAATTAGGATCCCTTGTTCCATGACAAGGCCATGAAGAAATCTCCATTCTGGCATTTGCTCTACTGTCATAATACAGCAATTTCTTTATCAAGTGGAAAGTTCAAAGTAAGAAAAAAAAACCACAATGTTTTCTGATGTTCCACAGAACCAACTATCACTGCACTGAATTCAAGTTATTGTAACATATGCTTAACATTTCTCACTTATCAAATACCTTGTGCAACCTCTTTTTTTTAGGCTTCAGTCAATTTGTTAGCCTAAGAGGCTGGTCCCTGAATCCTTAGCCACTTCATGGCATTGTTTTATGTATATTTTATCAGTATTGCTGTATGGCAGCCAAGTTTGTATCACCATGTGTAATTCTTCCGCAAAGCAGTCAGATTTTCAAATGTAATTAAAAAAAAACACCCAAAACATCAATTCAAAAGAAAGGCCTCAAATCAAATTACATGGTCTAATTACATTAATGCAATCTTAAATGATTAAAAAAAAAAAAAAAAAAAATCATCTATCTGGATGCATAGAAACACATTTGCTTGAAATTCAGAGTATGTGTTCAGGAACACTTTCCTCCTCTCCCTTCTCTCAAATTAAAGTGCTCTCTTGTGGTTTGGTTTTTTTTTTCCTGTACAGAATTTGGAACAGTGTAGGTCCTCTTTTCATGTTTGGGTGGTTTTTTTGTTTGTTATATACATGAAAGCAAAAATTATCCTTTCATTCTTAAGCTAAAATTCTCATAGAAGTCTTTTAGTTGGGGCTTTACACAGAACCACCCCCTGTTTGCAAGAAGGAACAGGGAAAGGCACGCATCTTCAGAGGGCAACTGGCTCCCCCTGACACAAGGGCTGAGATCATCAGACAGCACCATCTCCTTCCACCGACTGTGGGAAGGAGCCCAGACAGCAGATACTTGACATCTGGCTTTCTGATAGCTGAGGTTAGGTGAGATAAAACCCATCCAGAGTTAAGCCGGAGCCCGATGTCCCGCCTGTCACGTACAACCTGCCTACATGCGTGCCATGGACACAGTCGAGTTACGGTGGCTTCCAGGGTTGCCGTTTGTCAGCTGAGCTGTGACAGCCAGCTTGGGTATGAATTCTTTTTGGGGGGGTGTGTCCCATTTATGAAAAAAAAACCAAAAAACAAAAAACCACCACACTGGTTTAAGCCATTTTCATGAACCAACTAACCAGGCGTACGGGTCAAGTGCCCACAGCTTAGCAGATGAGCAAGTACTCATCAAGCCACAGTGATTTCCTTGGTCAAGGCCATGTATCCTCAGCTTGTAACAGCTCTGAGAAAAAGGCAAAGACAATAGTTTATTTAATCTCTTGATCAGCTGAAAGTTCAACTCTTCCAGCATGTGAACTACCTAACATGGCCTTTTCTTTACAACACTGTATCACAAGGTCCCTTTACAGGCATTACCTTGTACAAATACAAGCGCATGGTGCTTCTGGCTACTAAGTAGCATCAACTAATTTAATTTTTGCTCTTAGCTCACTTTCTTCACTAAGCAAACATAGCATTTTACAGTCTTCATATTGGAAGGGAATAAATAGGAGACCACATTTCCCACATCTTCTGCTTTAAAACTTGACCTCACGCCTTCCTTATCTGACCCTCAACTCACAAGCCCCTCCTAAGGTAAAAGAGTGCATCCCTGCTCATCTCTACAAGTATTATGGTGCTTGAGAGACTTCCAAAGACACAAAACCTGGATAAAGCCAGCCTCAATATAGCTGAGGTCAATATATCTGCAGGGAATGCTACTGTGAAATACGTTTCCAAAAATTATGTTTCCTCTTCAGAACAGGAAATAATGGAAGGGTGTGAAAACTACTGTCATCACTGTGACCTACATTACAAGATAGTGCATTTCATTTAAAAGGAAAAAAAAAAAAAGTCCTCATACACTTTAAATTTGGTGCAGAATCCTGGCTTCATGTCTCCCAGGAGGTGCATCATTGTGTCCAGTAGTTCACGGCTTGAACTAACCAGGAACTCACGGCCACATGCCAGAGCAGCCACATCTGTGAAAGAACACAAAACATCCAAATAAAAATCACGTTTCAAACAAAAGTTTACGCTAATTATCAGGACCACTAAAAAGATATGTCAGCTGTGAAGAATGAACTATGGCATCTATATAAACTTCAAAATATATTCACCTACAGAGCAAATACTGAAGCAGCAAATTAAACTGGTCAAACTCCTTCATAATTCTGCTTTGGTAATTAAAATGTTTATTTAGTGGCCAGTATCCTAATAGTAACACACTGAATTACGAAACAAAAGGCTGGATTCATCCACAAATAACATGGGACTGAAGCAAAGCTGACCATTATAGGTCCCACTTCAAAGAAAAGAGATTGCAGATTGTTTTACAGTTACTCAATCCATTATACCTGGCACATTACACAACCAAAACTCTTGTGGACATCTACTCAAAAGCTCTTTTCCTACCTCTCTGCAAGCTCATTACTCATGCGCTAACCAAAAGGCAAAAAGATTTCCAAAGACCACGGCTCAAAACCAGACTTTCCTTCAGTGTTTTCCCTATGAAAAATTTCCCTTCTTTATCCTTATGTGCAAGGGGTATCTTCCAGCAAACCAAGCCTCCTCCAAACAAGCGAAGCACGGTGTATGTAACTACTGGAAGAACCTGGATCCCTGGCCTCCCCTTCAGGGCAAGTTTGGGGATCTGCAGCACGATACAGTTCTTCCCCTTCCATGCTCAGGTTCTCTCTCCTGTGCACATACACCATGATGCCTTTTTTAACCTCAGAATAAGCAGAAGTAGAAGCTTGGACACAGCTTATAATTAAAGACTGTTATTGCAGTGTTTGTACACACAGGACTGTGTTAAGCCTGCACTGAGAACTACTGTTCTGGTGTTTTCGAACTTCTGAATACTTGGCACTTGATGACCACCTCCTCAGTGTTCTTTTAATAACGCTTTCTAGCGTAATACTACTTTACAGCATAACTAGGATAATTAAACTGGTACCTTCTACATCAATCATGTGGACATCACTCAAAGGACTCATCCTTTATCCCACGAGTTTCAGCAACCTCCCAAATTACAGAGACAAAGAGAGAAGTCTTGGTAATATCAACTTCACTCGAAAAAATTGCATTAGTTTCAGTGAAGCAAGATGTCTTTCCATCATCCTGATTCCTCCACGGGCAGAACCCCAACACCCCTCACGCTCCACCTTTAAACATGTCCTTTGTTCAGACTTTCCTTTTGCTATGCTTTTTTTGTTCTTTTTTTTTAAATGAAGCAACTGGAGAACTGGATTCCACCTTGGTAGCAGTGGCACAACACATCACATACTGTTTTTTATTACCATGTTTAATGGTACCTGTTAATGCAATATTCACTTATTTGTATGTTTCATCCATTTTGCATCATGTCATTAGTGTCCTTTTGACAGTTGCACAGTTTCACAAACATGCAGATGACATAACAACCCCATTTCTCACAGCCTTCCAAGCTAGAGGCAGACATACTAAGCTAGAGCTGTGGCTTCCTACTTATTTTTTGACCCTAATAAGAAACATTTAAGACAGAAGACAGGTTTATTGCCTTTTCTTTCTCTTAGAACTATGGACAGTGCAGGTGAGGTCCATCTGGCAGCAATAAAATTCCTAAGCAGTTTCAAAATTCTGAACACATACCTTAAGATGGGACTGATCTACTCACATCATCCCTAATTCATACATCTTGAAGTTGTTAGCGTTATTGGAAATTCAGAAAGTAAATTGCTTGACATTTACCAACTAAGGTGAGCATACAAGACTAGTAAAATGGTCCTTGTTTTACTTCAGATTGAACAACGTGTTAGGAAATTTCAGAACTCAATGGCTCTTACCTGTCTAATCCTTAACAGGGTCACAGACATTATAAAGCCTCACAGAAGTGTCAATGACAAAATCTGCTAGAACTTTAAAAGACTAGGAAGTCACCCAAGATGTCAACATTGACTAAATACCTGACTTTGAAAAGCTGTAGTTACTGCAGCACGTGTAAGGCAATAGAGAAATTCCCAGTACATGTGGAATGCTATTCTGAGAGATAACATTAACTTACTTGTTACAATCCCTGCCAAAGCTAATACAAACTGGTTTTCATCAGAATCCAAATCCTGCTGTTTCATGTCTTCACTTAATGACTTCACAAAGCTCTCCATGGTCTGTGCAGTGATTGTGAAAAACTTTACTGCTTTACTCTGCAAGTGCGGAGGAGAAAAAAAAAAAAGATTATACACACAGTACTCTGCAAGTGCGGAGGAGAAAAAAAAAAAAAGATTATACACACAGTAGCAACTATGATTATTAGATGCTACAGCAAAACTGGACCATTTTCAAAACCACTAAAACATCCAGTTACTTCAAAAAACAACAGAAAATAGCAGGTATGCACTAAATGACAAGTGTGATCCCCTAATATTTGAAACCATTACCTCAGAAGAAAATGGAGAAAATGGCAAACTACTCAATGCTACATTCATTTATAAAAATGAACCTAAACCCACAATAATATATATCAGACAGTAGAATTAAAGCTTATTTTCAAAAGTGAAGATATCATCTCTTTGCTTTGCAATAGCTGGACAAGGTGTTTCCCATTTACTTGGGCTACTACAGCAGTGTTTGTGAAAACCCTATCCAGCTAAAGAATGGAGAGCAGCCTGATGTAGTGACTTGCCACGGATTTCCTAAGAAAACTCATGAAATACCCAGAAAAAAAAAAGCAAAATTAAATTGGATCCTAACAGGATTCATTAATTGCTCAATACAGGATGAAGAACAATGGGCTAGGTAGAAGCTCTTTAGAAAAGGAAATGGAGGTCTCTCCTGGGTCTCCTGGCGTTGAATTTTCATCAGCAATATCACATGAGAAAGGTGATCATCACTCCAGAGCCTATAAACAAGAGTACAGCCCATAATTACGTTATGCAGTCTTCTCCCCTCAGCTGGAATACTCCTCCATTTTAGGGTATCTCAGTTGAACAAGGAGCCACCTCAAAGGTACACAGCTCAGGGCAGGTCAAAGAGCCTGGTCAAAGGCGTAGAGAGAGCTCACAAAGAAGGATGGAGAGAAACGTTTCTGTTTATTAGTAGTTCTGACCCGTAAAACATTGTGTGAAATAGCATTCCAACAGAGGATGCTGGTTTTCCTCACAAAAATAGCCCAGCAGAAAGCCTATAATCCCAGGTTTCCCAGTGTCTTTAATAATTTTGCCAGTTGTTTTATGAAGCAACTGAAACTTTTAGTCATTCCCGGCAGTGACCCAATGGGACAGCCCAAGAAATGCCAGAACTTTTTTTTGCAAAGTGACTGAAAATTTCAGTATTTTGTCAAAACTACTGCTTTCACAATATGCACAAAGCTACTGCTAATATTTGTGTATTCCTCCACTGCTGCACACACACCACATCAAAGGTGTGCAGCTCCTGTCAGGCGACTCCAGCAACAGGAGTATCTTCACAAATGATACTGTGCTCCCAGAGTATCAGAAATGAAGGGATCATGGGGAAAGAGAATGGGAAAAACATGCACTTCTGCACATGCTGGATGTACTTTTTATACTTACGCAGACGTCACACCTCAAAGATGGCAATTTTAACTCAAGTAGTGACCATACTTCAAGAAGGAGAGGGCGTGAGAGAAAATGAAGAGAGCCTACTATAGCAGACTGCTATAAGATAGTATGAAAATATGCATTCAGAATGGAACATAATAGAGTACTAAGCAAACCAAGTAGTTGGTATGTTGCACAGAAAACACGCAAAATCTTCTATTTGCCAGTCTCTTGACGTGCCGCTGGTGTCCCCTCTGCTGAACCTTCTTTCCAAATAGCCATTAATTAACTAGCCGTGAGGTCTGAGGAGCTGCAGCAGAGACCAGTTGGGTTTATAAATAGCAAACATTACGTACTCAGTGCAGTCTCTTATTAGCTTGACAGTATTTTCATGGGACTGAAGAATGTCTCACCCACCAACACGGAGATAAGGACAGCTCTGAGAGCAGTCATTAATGTGCTTGAGCTCAGATTGGTGCAATGAACCCTTTGCTGTCCAAGTAACTCCTGCGTGAAAACATTAGTTAATGTGCAAAATTGCTACTATAAAATATAAAGCTGCTTGTCACCATAGCAGATAACTGAAGTAGCAGACCACCTTGTAAGATCCAAAATTTCTCAAGTTGAAGCAAGCCTGGATGCTGTTCAGAAATCAAACCTTCAGTTTGCATTTCCATGCGAGAGCCCTGTCATGTGGGTATCTGGTTGAAGTTTTTTGAAAGGCATCTAAATTAATTCCCATCAGATTGTTTTACTTCTTTTTTTGGCACACGCAGGTAGGCATCCTTGAAAACTCTCCCTCATGCTGCTTCTCTGGATGTCTCTTCAAGTGCTCTCTAGAAACATTATGCATGGGCAGAAGCAGTAGGCATCTCTCCCCCACTGCCTTGAAAACTTCTTGTGTTACATTTCAAATTCGCTGCTTGAATTTTAACTTTCCCAGCCCATACGGACACAAATTATATTGGTCCCAAACATCATTTCAGTCTATCTGCATTACAGGACTGTATGAAAGACCTATTTCCCTACCTGTGGAAAGACTGAAAAAAGCTTGAGCACTGCTCCCTAAGGCATGAAATGATTCTGAATTGATGCCACCCTCCCCATATGCTTAAATATGAGCAAGTTTCAAAGTTCATAGCACCTTCTCAGGGAAGGGAAGAAGATGTTGTGTGACTTGTCCAAAAATAATCCAAACCAAAAAAACGTGTATGACAAATCTCCTTCATCTTTTAATAACCTGACTCATTGCCAGTTGTAATCTGTGGTTGACGCAATGCCACACAATCCATTCATGTTTTTCCTAGTAGTCTTGTTGCAAACCCAGGCATCTTTCTTACCATGTTATGTACGCCATCACAAGAAAACAATGATCAAAAACGTTGCTATGACCTTCACCAGAAGTATAGCAGTTCAATGGGCTCTAATGATTGCTGGGAATTATTCTAGTGGAAGTATTCTGGCCTTCTAGTACCTAAAAGGAGCCTACAGGAAACATGAGGAGGGACTCTTTTATCAGGGAGTGTAGTGATAGGACAAGGGATGATGGTTTTAAACTGAAGGAGGGTAGATTTAGATTACATATCAGGAAGAAATTCTTTACTGTGAAGATGGTGAGACACTGGAACAGGTTGCCCAGAAGTTGTGGATGCCCCATCCCTGGAAGTGTTCAAGGCCAGGCTGGATGGGGCTTTGAGGAACCTGGTCTAGTGGGAGGTGTCCCTGCCCAGGGCAGGGGGGTTGAAAGGTTAGAACCAGATGATTTTTAAGGTCCCTTCGAACTCTAACTATTCTACAATTCTATTACATCAAACAAACCTAGGAAGAGAAGCATTGCATCTTCACAATTGGGCCTTACAGAAATTATCAGGTAACAGTTTTGGATTTACCTAATCCTACTTAATTTTTATACTTAAGACTGCTTTCAACAAGGCTTCTACTAATTTTACTCTCATAGAAATATGGTCATTTCCATCACTGTTAATGTTTTGTTTGTAGGAAACATACCATTTTAATACCACTTCATAAGTCAAGTAACAATGGCTACTCACTATTGTCGAGTCTTACAGTTATAAAATGTTCTGAAAATAGGGAATGTAATTTATATTAGTTTTTTTGCTATATGGCGGCTCCGTAGTATCCACCTGCCTTTTTTTTTTTTTAAAAAAAAAACCTGTTTTATACAGTGTTTTTGCAGACACTTTTCCTTAGTAATTGTTGCTGCTGGGATCTGGAATCATCAGAAATTATCACCAAAAGGTATCACTGTACAGCTTTCTAATATCCAATATAAAATTAAAATTGTATTTTGGTGCACCCAAACTGAAAAACCTCTTACAAACACACTAGTTTCCACTTACTATAATAAACTAATCCCATTCACTCAGCTGTTCATCATGCTGCTGAAAAATCAAACCAGATGAAACTGTGGCATCAGTTCACTCAGATTAAGTACAATTTTTTCCTCATGTTGGCTGTGACAAGACTGAAAATCATATCTTCATCAGGCCTGTTCCTCTGATCCCTCCTAATTCCATCAGCTGCACTTGGCAGGGAAACTGTGTTAGTTGTAATATTACTACTGTCTTTAACTGTTCTTGTTATGGCTTTTTTCAAACAAGCTACCTGCCCACGTTTAACACTGAAGATTTAGTAAGATTCACTAGATTCAAAGCAGCTAGGCTCTCTACATTTCCAAGACTCATGCAAGAATTAATGCAAGATTTTGCCTTAAGATAATCTTAAAAAAGATTTAAAGAAGTTGAGAACTGATGGATCTGTCTTCCTTCCATGGAAACAGCTCCTCCAAGTTCTCTACAGGCATGGGAACTCCTCCACGTGCCAAAGAATTATTTTCTTCTTCTGTTATCTTGCAAAGATACTTAAATTCTGCTAGCTGTATAGCCTTGCTTCCAGTTTAACTGTGTGTGGTGGAAAACAGACAACCCTTGTTTGTTAACAATTAATCACTGCATTTATTCCCAGACTGCTTCATAACACTTTATAGTTAGAATCATAGAATCATTGAGGTTGGAAGAGACCCTTGGGATCATCGAGTCCAACCATCTACCCTACTCTACAAAGTCCTCCCCTACACCATGTTCCTCAGTACCCCATCTAAACGTCCCTTAAACACAGCCAGGGATGGTGACTCAACCACCTCCCTGGGCAGCCTGTTCCAATGCCCGACCACTCTCTCTGTGAAAAATTCCTTCCTAATGTTCAATCTAAACCTACCCTGTTGGAGCTTGAAGCTGTTCCCTCTCGTTCTATTGTTAATTACCTGTGAGAAGAGACCAGCACCAACCTCTCTACAGTGTCCTTTCAAGTAGTTGTAGAGAGTGATGAGGTCTCCCCTCAGCCTCCTCTTCCTCATACTAAACAGTTCTAACACTCCTTAAATGAGAATGGATGGTTCACAAAAAAATATACAATTCAGAAAACATTTTCACAGTCCAATTAGTTTCTGAAATAAATCCTTACATTAAAGCGTTTGACAGATGAAGGTCCTCATTTTAAGGGCCTAACAGTGTTACCACCAGTAAGTATTCACCTGCCATACTTACTCCTCCTAGAAGGGTTTTAACAGCTTCCTCATTGCTAGATACACCCCACAACAGCGTGCACACCGCTGCGCCCATTTCTGTGCAGTACTCTGCTTGCTGCAGGAGCTGCTGCTTGGCCTCGTTCAGCTGCTGGCGGAGGTCTAGTTTCTCCTGAAATAGCAGAAGGAAATTTTGGTTGCACCTCATGTCAGCCAAATCACGTTTCTAGGCTAAGGGGACAGAACGAGAAACAACATCCTGGCCACATGTGAGAAGGGGAGAAGGGGATGGAGGGGGTGGGGTGGCAAACTCACAGCAGTTGCAGACACATACCTTCCCTCCTGAGTTATATCTAAGCAGTAAGTGCATCGTGGAGGCTGACAGTAACCAGAAGCCTGTCCACAAGGTCAGGCCAAGTGACCCACTGAGACTGAGTGGCACCTAGAGAAGTCTGATAGGAGACACTACTCCTCCTAAGCAAATAGCTACACGTCTCTCCGAGAGAGAAGGGCTTTCAGCATCAGAGCTCAGCCTTTCCAGACACCTTACAAAAGATACTGGAAACATCTTTTAGGAAGGGAGGATTGTTTTGTTTTCCAAAACAGACTTCTGCCTTAGCCAGTGTGGTAGAGTTGCTGGATATCTAGGATAAATACTGTTGTCTCTTCCAATTTTTTTCCATTGGCATATTTTTGACCAGCAGTGGCAAAGTCAGATGGAGTCCCCGGAAAAACACATCTAAGGTTTGAAGTTTGGAGGGCCTTTCATACCAAGAAAGCCCATGCACCATCACACATCCATCACCTAAGCGAGCTGCTCAGTGCTCCTTGCCACAAAGCATAAAGAGAGAAGGGAGCAATCCAACGCGGCCAAGACCCAAGTTCAATTTGGCAGCATTTTTTTCAACTCACATGGGAAGTTGGCCAGAAGATGAGATTAGATATGATACTACATCTCACTGGCATGCTACCAACTGCCACAGGGACAGTGAAGCTGCTGCACCTCTCAGCTATAGAGTGAGATGGGACAGGGACACCGCAGTCTGTGGGCTCTCTGGGTTGATGAGGGCTCCCTGCTAACCTTAGGGTGGTACTAGACAGTGCTGCAGGGGAAGATACAAGGCCAATCAAGAAAAATGATGCTAACTCAACTATTAAAAGCGAGAGAGAATCACAGATCACACAGTGTCAAAAGAAGAGAAGGATCTGGCTCTGCCCATTTTGTGGGCATGGGATTTGCACATTCACTGCAGAAAGGACCCTCCTCGGCCCAGCCTCCCCTGTCTTGAGCCGTCAAGATGAAGTCCAGGGAAATAAGTAGGAATCTTCTATGTACTTCCTACTTTCCACCATGTACTCCCATCAGGATTTTAAAACAAGTATCTCATCATTTTAGGGGCTCACCTCAGTGTTTTGTGTTGAGGATTTGGAAGGAATAGAAACATAAACTCATCTGAAAATTTACGTAACGTGGTATTAAGCACTATGAAGCTGCTTGTTTGTCATCAGTAACCTACCTAGCCTTCTGTATCACACCTGACAGCCTGATTTGCATTGCTTTATCATGCTGCTGGTGGAACACACAGGCTAGGATTTGTAAAATTCAAATTAAATTTATCAAGCAGATTTCTGTGCATATTTAGTCTCTGAAGTCTCTTTCACCTTATCGTTTAATATATGCAAAACACTGACACTTGCTGCTGATTCCCTAGGCATAGAAGTCTCTTACTAGTTCATACTTTGATCATTGTAAAGCACGTTAGCCAAATTTTATCTTTTAAATAACTCACTGCCAGGCCTACCAGCTTTTCTGCCACCATGTGCATCAGGCATCTTCCTTGTCTAACACCTGTCTTGTCCCTGCTTTTGTTTTCCACACTGTCCTCGTCTTAGGAAAATGTATCTTTTAATATATTTTATTTCCATTTTGCATTTGGATGCTAATACAGAATAGTAAGACATAAAACTCTGTAATACCAAAGCTAGATTCCCCAGCAAGGATGCAAAGCCACCACAAGAAATGCCGAAATTTTTAATAGATCAAAAGCAACATCAGAACAAAGGTACGAAGCAAGGAAAACAAAATAGTACATTCAAGAGCCAGGAAAATAAACGGAGCCTGCAAAAGCAAATAACCTGGCTGGGAGCAACACTCCTGAGAGCTCACATCACGAAGCAATCGCTGTGCTATGCAACACCACCATCTTCAGGAAAGGGTCAAGGCATGAGAATACAGCAGTGCTTAAGTACAAAACTATGAAAAGACAGACAAAGAAGGCATTAGCTAAGAATAACGTGCACTTTAAGTTTTGCTCAGGTTCAGAAAGCATGGCAATTCCCTAATCAGTGAAACAGCACCGCACAGAAATTTTGAAATGCGAAACGTTGATTTATGATCCCCTAAAAGGGCACTGCTCAACTAGAAAATGCATTTATTTTATGTGTATTTCAGTGAATCATTTCCTTTTCCTTCAGAAAATAAATACATACAAAATAATTTAGAACCTACATGCAAGGATGCCTACGGCAGAACAGCAACCAAATGAAAAACACCACACAAAATGATTAACAGGAACAAAAATCCCACATATACACACACCACCTTTTATCCCAAAGAGCTAAAGGATTTCACAAGGTACATAAGCACAATCCACTCAGACAAATACACCTTTGTGGCATGTAACAGAAGCCACTTAGAAAACCAGCGTACACTGCACAACAGCAAAGATACAAAAAGAAGAGCTTTAAGCAGGAACACCAAGACAACAACTACTCTTAGTAAACTATCCATGCTTTAAGTAAAGCTTTTATCCAAATGAAATCACAAACCTAAACCATCTGCCATTTATTTGGTAATATTAACAAGAATAAAGAGTGGGGCCCATTTCATTAATATCTGAAGCAGCACCATTAAATCTCAAAGAGATTTCATCCTAGATGTTTATACAATTAAAGATCTGGGTACACAGCAAAATTAATGAGTACCTATTGCCAAACTGCAATAGCTATTCTAGAAGATACTTGTTTTGAAGGAATATCCAAATAGGCAGCTACTCCATTAATACTTTACATTCAAATCAAACCCCATTCCAGAATGACTCGTGAACACAGATATGCCCTAAAACTGCATCTCTGAACTTTTCATTTATTCTTTTTCAAAACCAAAATAGTTTCTGGGGGTTCACCTGTCTCTGTGCAATCCCAAGGCTGGCAGATGCTAACTCCAGAACCCCAACAAAGTGAGCTTCTGCTGACTACTGAAGATAGCTGTCAGCTCCAAGAACATTAACTTTTGCAGCAAATAATCACAACCAATTCTCACACCTCTGAGAAATTAAGCTGCTACTCTTTATGATCCTTTTTAAACTCCAATGGCTTCACAGAAGACCCACAGTCTCAGAAGTCTGAGGTCTTTGCTATTCCTTCATTGTTAAGAATCTCCCTTCTCATAATCACTAAATACAATATTGACAGAGCAAAAGGAGCCCGGTAATTGTTCTTTGACCCACAGCTGTACATGGGAATTGGATCAATAGGTGCACTGAGGAAGACTATTAAAACTAAACAAAGGTACACAGCTTTCAGCAAGCCAAAAGAGAGGCCAGTTTCATTTTGTACATTGCATTGCTTACATTATCTTCTATTGTTGTCTTTGAAAACACATTATAGTTACATTAAATTCAAAGGAGCTGATTCCACAAAGGACTTTTTGATGCCAGCCACATCACAATCTCCCTGAATACCCAATGTTTTACTTCAGCACATTAATTTAAAATGAACCATTAGTATTTTGGTTAACTTTACATAGAACAAAATGAACCCTGCTAAGAAGCCTTAATGCAACCCCATACAACTGCTCCTCACACAGTATGGAAGTTAAGAGAGATCTATGCAGTTACACAAGACTTAGGTACCTCAGTGGGAGACTGACTATCAGTTGGTACCTCTATTTATACACCTTTAATACATTTTTTGTACTACATCTTATTATATTTTGTCTAGTTGTAATATTGACCCTTTTGCTCTGGAAACATCAAGGGGAAAACCACATCCATTATGAACTTATAGGTAATTAATTTACCCATCACCTGACTATATGAACAGAAATGCCAGATTGTTTTTCAAGCTGAGGATGCATTTTGTGACATGAACGTGACAAACTGATCATTACTGCTTTTGTTATGAATACTCAAGCATAGAGATAGGAATACTCTGACAGAAAATCTACCTTCTTCTCTCTCATGCAATCTGCCTGGGCTGTTTCCAGACGGGCTCTGAAGTGTTCACAATCCATTTTCAGCTGCTCTATTTCCTCCTCCTTTTTCTCCATGTCTGTGACAGAACAAATCAGAGAAACGAAGTTATGACCGATGGGCTTACGCTCAAGAAAAAAGAATCCACCAAGGGCAAATATAATGAGGGGCTTTAACCATTTGCTTGTGTTAGATCACCCCCTAGTGGCTAAACTGGTATAGCGCCAGAATGCTGCCACATTGCAACAGCTCTTACAACTAAAGGAACATGATGTTTCTGATTTAAAACAGCGAAAGACCAAAATAATTACATCTAGATGTTAAATACTGTGTGTTGACAAGATATCATTTTGAAACTGAGCTCCTCAGGGATTTTTAAAAGTTTGTTCAATTTCCTACATTTTTTGTTTGTTTGCTTTCATGATGGTTTTCGTGTCCGCTACCTTTGAAATTCAGTGAGTACAGTGAAAAAAATCTAAGAAAAAGAATACCAAGATCAGTGAAAAGTGTTTCAATATAGAATGTACGAATTATGAATACTAAGAATGAAATGCAGCTACTCTGAACATTTTAAAATAATGTTTATAAAGTATTATTAAACTATTTAAACATCATGTCAGTGACAAGCAAATTTTAGGATTCTCTTAAAAAATTAAAACCTGATGTTATCAGAAACACATTTCTATTTAGATGCTTTATTTTAGTGAATGGAAATGAAGTTAAAACTATCATACTTCACAACCATGATGTCTGTTTTTAAAAATTCACATTTTAAAATAATGTTTATAAAGTATTATTAAACTATTTAAACATCATGTCAGTGACAAGCAAATTTTAGGATTCTCTTAAAAAATTAAAACCTGATGTTATCAGAAACACATTTCTATTTAGATGCTTTATTTTAGTGAATGGAAATGAAGTTAAAACTATCATACTTCACAACCATGATGTCTGTTTTTAAAAATTCACTTTGAAGGAAATTTTTAACAATTGTTGCGTACTGTATTTTAGTTTAAAAAAACAACAGTTCTGGATGCTTAGTATTTATACGGACAAAAAAAAAAAAAGGAAACACGTTTAAGTCATTCCAAAGAGTAATGTCCAAATAGCATCTACTCCAATTTTCATTAGCTTAAATAACAAGTTACACTCCACTTTGAGCAGCATTAAGAGTATGGTCTATGGCTTAACATACTTCAGATACTTCTCGTTACATGTGGTCAATATTTTTGAATGTATTTACCAAAAAGCATATCAAATTCAATCAAAAAAGAGATAACATCATTTAAAGAAACAGTCCTTATTATCCAAAGAGCTTGGATTCTGGCATTTTATTTAGTAATTCTACATTGTTTGGAAATACATTCCTTTCTGTTTTGGTCCTAATTGACAAAAAAGTTATCATTTCCAATATGTACACACTGCTTTGAGTAGCAGGTATGAAAGAAGATGGCCACAAACAGCTTTTCTAACAACATGGAAAATATTTCCACTCAGCCCTTGTGTGATTTTAAGTCATCAACACCAAGATTTTTTAACAGAAACCGAAGAGGCCAGTCAAGGGTCCACTCCCAGGAAACACACACGTGCCAGGGGACGCGCCCCGAGCACTCGGTTCTTTTCAACCTGCAATCCAACGGAAAAGAATGAAGGGAGGAACGGATTCATTGAGGTTTTTTGAGGAATAACTCCAGTCAGTGGTAGGAAACTTTTTTTCCCTCATCAAGTAAAGAAAATTCCGTTGCATGGACCTATTACTATGTAGGTGTTAGTCTTAAGTACTCAACAGAAAGATGTCTTGAGCCAGACCGGGGCATGCTCTGCTCATCAGTGGGAGACCAAGAACCTGTTTATCCTTGCCAGGGAAGTCATCCAGTGGAACGCAGCTCCCAGTGAAAGTCTCCCTTGCTGCAAGGAAACAAGCTCTCCTGAATGAAAGGAATCACTTCCAGCCTTTGAGAGGATGGACGCACTCCAAACCCAGTATCAGCACAGCCAGCAGACACGCAAAGACGCCAAATCCTTCCCTGGCAGACTTCAAAGCTCTTGGAAGCAAAACTAAGCCAGGAGAAGGGGGAATAGTATTTACTGAGTGTTAATATGATGCTACCTGTATCTTCTGAAGTTCTCTAGATAAAAGAAATGGAAATGAAGTTAAAACTATCATACTTCACAACCATGATGTCTGGTTTTAAAAATTCACTTTGAAGGAAATTTTTAACAATTGTTGTGTACTGTCTTTTAGTTTAAAGACAACAGTTCTGGATGCTTAGTATTTATACTGACAAAAAAAAAAAGGAAACACATTTAAGTAATTCCAAAGAGTAATGTCCAAACAGCATCTACTCCAATTTTGATTAGCTTAAATAACAAGTTACACCCCACTTTGAGCAGCATTATTATTGATCATAAGAGTATGGTCTATGGCTTAACACACTTCAGATATGTCTCCTTACATGTGGTCAATATTTTTGAATGTATTTACCAAAAAGCATATCAAATTCAATCAAAAAGAGAGATAACATCATTTAAAGAAACAGTCTTTATTCTCCAAAGAGCTTGGATTCTGGCATTTTATTTAGTAATTCTACATTGTTTGGAAATACATTCCTTTCTGTTTTGGTCCTAATTGACAAAAAAGTTATCATTTCGAATATGTACACACTGCTTTGAGTGGCAGGTATGAAAGAAGATGGCCACAAACAGCTTTTCTAACAACATGGAAAATATTTCCACTCAGCCCTTGTGTGATTTCAAGTCATCAACACCAAGATTTTTAACAGAAACCGAAGAGGCCAGTCAAGGGTCCGCTCCCAGGAAACACATACGTGCCAGGGCACACTCCCCGAGCACTCGGTTCTTTTCAACCTGCGATCCAACGGAAAAGAATGAAGGGAGGAACGGATCCATTGAGGTTTTTTGAGGAATAACTCTACTAAGTCCTGTATCAGGAACAGCGTGGCAAGTAGGGCCCGAGAGGTGATTGTCCCCCTGTACTCGGCACTGGTGAGGCCTCACCTTGAGTACTGTGTCCAGTTTTGGGCCCCCTACCATAAAAAAGACATTGAGGTGCTGGAGCGGGTCCAGAGAAGGGCAATGAAGCTGGTGAGGGGTCTGGAGAGTAAGTCTTATGAGGAGAGGCTGAGGGAGCTGGGGTTGTTCAGCCTGGAGAAGAGGAGGCTGAGGGGAGACCTTATTGCTCTCTACAACTACCTGAAAGGAGGGTGTAGAGAGGTGGGGGTCGGTCTCTTCTCTCAAGTCACAGGCTACAGGACAAGAGGAAATGGCCTCAAGTTGCGCCAGGGGAGGTTCAGGCTGGATATTAGGAAAAATTTTTTCACTGAAAGGGTTATCAGACATTGGAATGGGCTGCCCAGGGAGGTGGTTGAGGCACCATCCCTGGAGGTGTTCAAAAGACGGATTGAGGTTTTTTGAGGAATAACTCCAGTCAGTGGTAGGAAACTTTTTTTCCCTCATCAAGTAAAGAAAATTCCGTTGCATGGACCTATTACTATGTAGGTGTTAGTCTTAAGTACTCAACAGAAAGATGTCTTGAGCCAGACCAGGGCATGCTCTGCTCATCAGTGGGAGACCAAGAACCTGTTTATCCTTGCAGGTAAGTCATCCAGCAGAAAGCAGCTCCCAGTGAAAGTCTCCCTTGCTGCAAGGAAACAAGCTCTCCTGAATGAAAGGAATCACTTCCAGCCTTTGAGAGGATGGACGCACTCCAAACCCAGTATCAGCACAGCCAGCAGACACGCAAAGACGCCAAATCCTTCCCTGGCAGACTTCAAAGCTCTTGGAAGCAAAACTAAGCCAGGAGAAGGGGGAATAGTATTTACTGAGTGTTAATATGATGCTACCTGTATCTTCTGAAGTTCTCTAGATAAAAGAAGAATGTGCCAGCCTCCTGTAAGGCATCACATTTTATGTCAAGGGAAACTAGGTCCATTCTAGAAGGAAAAAAATAGAGCTAGAAGTAAATCATCTCTCTTCATCAGCTTCCAATATTACCTATCTCATTCCTGGAAACACTCCCTATTATGCCCAGATATCTTTCCCAGCTGTGCACACCCTTGCTCTGAAAGCAAATTCAAGGCTTCATGCCCCAGTCCTGACACTGGACAACCTCCTGACACACAGTGGCAGGCACTTTGCTGACACTGAAGGCAGCAGCTGTGCCCCTGGCTTCTGCACACCAGAACACAGAGAAGCCCAAGAGGTTCTCCCACTGGCTCAAGTCCCAACCCCCAGTAATAAAGTTCCTCACCTCCTGACACTAAAATCTTGAGACTCGGATTGTCTACCTCCACCAAGAGAAGAAGCAGCTTTTGCTATCAACTTGCACAAGCAAGAAATATGAAATGGCATCCTTGCACAAACAGGAAATATATAACTTTATCCCTGAAGTGGTGAACCAGATTCTGCAAAGAAGTGGTATTTGCCCCCAAAAGAGACAGCGACTCAAAAGCAGAACAAGGCAACCACAAACAGCTTTTCTAACAACATGGAAAATATTTCCACTCAGCCCTTGTGTGATTTCAAGTCATCAACACCAAGATTTTTAACAGAAACCGAAGAGGCCAGTCAAGGGTCCGCTCCCAGGAAACACATACGTGCCAGGGCACACTCCCCGAGCACTCGGTTCTTTTCAACCTGCGATCCAACGGAAAAGAATGAAGGGAGGAACGGATCCATTGAGGTTTTTTGAGGAATAACTCTACTAAGTCATTAGCTTAAATAACAAGTTACACTCCACTTTGAGCAGCATTAAGAGTATGGTCTATGGCTTAACATACTTCAGATACTTCTCGTTACATGTGGTCAATATTTTTGAATGTATTTACCAAAAAGCATATCAAATTCAATCAAAAAAGAGATAACATCATTTAAAGAAACAGTCCTTATTATCCAAAGAGCTTGGATTCTGGCATTTTATTTAGTAATTCCACATTGTTTGGAAATACATTCCTTTCTGGTTTGGTCCTAATTGACAAAAAAGTTATCATTTCCAATATGTACACACTGCTTTGAGTAGCAGGTATGAAAGAAGATGGCCACAAACAGCTTTTCTAACAACATGGAAAATATTTCCACTCAGCCCTTGTGTGATTTTAAGTCATCAACACCAAGATTTTTTAACAGAAACCGAAGAGGCCAGTCAAGGGTCCACTCCCAGGAAACACACACGTGCCAGGGGACGCGCCCCGAGCACTCGGTTCTTTTCAACCTGCAATCCAACGGAAAAGAATGAAGGGAGGAACGGATTCATTGAGGTTTTTTGAGGAATAACTCCAGTCAGTGGTAGGAAACTTTTTTTCCCTCATCAAGTAAAGAAAATTCCGTTGCATGGACCTATTACTATGTAGGTGTTAGTCTTAAGTACTCAACAGAAAGATGTCTTGAGCCAGACCGGGGCATGCTCTGCTCATCAGTGGGAGACCAAGAACCTGTTTATCCTTGCCAGGGAAGTCATCCAGTGGAACGCAGCTCCCAGTGAAAGTCTCCCTTGCTGCAAGGAAACAAGCTCTCCTGAATGAAAGGAATCACTTCCAGCCTTTGAGAGGATGGACGCACTCCAAACCCAGTATCAGCACAGCCAGCAGACACGCAAAGACGCCAAATCCTTCCCTGGCAGACTTCAAAGCTCTTGGAAGCAAAACTAAGCCAGGAGAAGGGGGAATAGTATTTACTGAGTGTTAATATGATGCTACCTGTATCTTCTGAAGTTCTCTAGATAAAAGAAGAATGTGCCAGCCTCCTGTAAGGCATCACATTTTATGTCAAGGGAAACTAGGTCCATTCTAGAAGGAAAAAAATAGAGCTAGAAGTAAATCATCTCTCTTCATCAGCTTCCAATATTACCTATCTCATTCCTGGAAACACTCCCTATTATGCCCAGATATCTTTCCCAGCTGTGCACACCCTTGCTCTGAAAGCAAATTCAAGGCTTCATGCCCCAGTCCTGACACTGGACAACCTCCTGACACACAGTGGCAGGCACTTTGCTGACACTGAAGGCAGCAGCTGTGCCCCTGGCTTCTGCACACCAGAACACAGAGAAGCCCAAGAGGTTCTCCCACTGGCTCAAGTCCCAACCCCCAGTAATAAAGTTCCTCACCTCCTGACACTAAAATCTTGAGACTCGGATTGTCTACCTCCACCAAGAGAAGAAGCAGCTTTTGCTATCAACTTGCACAAGCAAGAAATATGAAATGGCATCTTTGCACAAACAGGAAATATATAACTTTATCCCTGAAGTGGTGAACCAGATTCTGCAAAGAAGTGGTATTTGCCCCCAAAAGAGACAGCGACTCAAAAGCAGAACAAGGCAATGAGCACAATGGAAGAAGAGAAGGCCCGCATTTCAGGTGGGCTCATTCTCACCTGCGCTGTAGGTCACACCAGGAGATTTTCTGAACCAGAGACCTAACCTCAAAGCTCTGGGAGGTGGAGAAATCAGTACAATTATGATGAATGCCAACAAGCGATGGAATTCCAATTCTACTGATCCAATTGCTAGATCGATGTTAAATGCAATTTTTAACACTTCCACCATGGACGAGTTCCACTAAACATATTCATAATAGTACAGAAAATTCGTTGGAGCCATTTTTCTAAGATTTCTGGAGCCAAACACTCTTCCTGAGGAGGGTAGTGAGAACAAAATGGATCTTTCTTTTTGAAATGAACCACTACCCTGCAAGCGATGGAATTCCAATTCTACTGATCCAAATGCTAGATCAATGCTAAATGCAATTTTTAACATTTCCACCACGGAGCGAGTTCCACTAAACATATTCATAATAGAAAAATAGCTCCAATAAATTTTCTCTACTAAGATTTCTGGAGCCAAACATTCTTCCTGAGGAGGGTAGTGAGATTAAAATGGCTCCTTCTTTTCGAAATGAACCACTGCCCTGGTAAAAGCCTTAGTGAAGACCCTGACACCAGCCCGAAAAGTAGATGTTGGCTGCACCGACCATTGCCAGCTGAGATCTCAGATATCACCTATGGGATGCTCCCATTGCAAATGGGTATCCTATTGACCTTGATATACAAGTGAAACATGCAAAGATCTCACTCAAGGTTTCCCAAAACTATTCAAGATTCCATCAGTCTCACAACAGAATGGGCCAGAAGCGTTAAAAGTATCTGACTATCATCTGCACTTCTTGAGGGGCAGGAGAACCTGCTAACACCTCATGTTTACAATTCTTAGAAAACTGCAATAGCTGATGAAAGTCTAGAGAGATGAACAAATCACTCATTAGGCTTCTTTAAGAACAACATGAAAAAAAAAACATCCCTAGTAACCGCCAGGACTCCTGTAAGCTTCATATGCCAACACCAAGAGACTGCACTTAGCGAACAGCACCAGAAAGCTCACCATTCTGAGACTGAAGGATGCTTGTGCCCCTGTGATGTCCAGTGTTTTGTGAACCATATGCTCCAAAGCCTCCTTTCAGTCTGCCTTATTGCATGCTGCAGAGGCAGGAGCAGATTGGAGCAGCAAAAATCACCACTTGACTTGTCCAGCTGTAGTGGCGAGAGTCTGAATAAATGTTCAAATGACCTCATTAAAGGCAACAGAAATCTCCATTGTGGGGATGTACTCAAGAGATTTCAAAGGCTGACACAGCTTCAGGTACTCCTCCAATGGATCCAGAGAATGCTGGCCAGCCAGCAGAACATTTGAAGGAAAGTTTGGGGTCAGTCTCGTTTCCCAAGTCACAGGAGATAGGACAAGGGGAATGGCCTGAAGCTGCGCCAGGGGAGGTTTAGATTGGATATTAGGAAAAATTTCTTCATGGAAAGGGTTATCCAGCATTGGAATGGGCTGCCCAGGGAAGTGGTTGAGGCACCATCCCTGGAGGTGTTCAAAAGACGGGTTGACATGGTCCTCAAGAATATGGTTTAGTGATTTTTTTTTTTTTTTGCTTATTTCTTATTTATTTTTTGTCAGAGTTAGGTTGATGGTTGGACTAGATGACCTTTAAGGTCCTTTCCAACCTAGACCATTCTATGATTCTGAGTCTTAAAAATGCCATGTTGATGTCACAGATCTGCTGCTGGAAGGCCCTGAGAGTGTCCTCTTGACTCATGGCACAAGGAACTAAGAATCAGTACAAGAAATCTTGAGACTGAGCACTGATAAAAATAGTTAAAACAAGAATCTGACTAGTTGAGGATCTCGAACACTTAATGCAACTGGAAACAGTCCTTGATAGCAAAAAGAGAACTTCTCCAGATCCTACATCACTTCTTGTGACACAGACAACACCACAGCTGGCAGTAGTAGAGGGGGTACAGTCTTTTAATCTCTCTTAGGATTTGATGGCATAGAAGAATCTTTCCAAAGACTGGATCGTTGAGGCAGCTGGAAGCTCTGCCCCAATATATTACTTGGTACGGGAGACGGGCCTTGAGGCTCTATCTTACTCTTTCTTAGCTAGCTGTTGCAAATTAACTTTCAATTAATCACTTGATTCATCTAGACATCTCTAGAAGAGATCCACTCTCTGTAATCTGTCTCAGTGCTTGTCCCGTGTCTTTTCAGAGAAAGCCAGCTCCCAGCAGAACAGGTGAATGGTTCTGCTGCACGTAAGCTACAGGGTAGGGATGGAGCCGACTCAGATTTGGTCCTGATGGCATTTTGGGAGTGGCGCAATTGGTAAAAAAATAATGCACAGAGAATCATAACACTGAAAACCTGGACTTTGGAGACAGCAGGAAAAAGACCCTTATAACAGAGAGCCTTTAACTTTTTTTTTTAAATTATTATTATGAATAATTCTAGCAATAAAAGCATACAAGCTAAAAAACCAAGAGAGGCTAAATACGATGATATTCTCATCATGACTCTTCCTTCAATTTTAACTACTTTTTATCCATACCTATTTACCATGGTTTTTTGCTGCGCATCTGAAGTGACATTCTGAAAAACAAAACATTTTTACTTTTTCTCAGAGGGATCACTTTTTTCCTGATACAGCTTCCCTTACTGCCTGAACTAATACTGTTTTATTCACAGTAAAATATTTTTAAAGATTCATTTGACGTCTAATTATTTCTAACGCAGTTTGTAATTTTCTTCATTACAAACACATTAATTTATTGAAGCATTCATTGAACGTCAAGGTTATTTGGAATACCTCCATAAACTCTACAACTATTCATAGGGGCATGACAGTTTGTTCTAAGTTTTGGCAAAAACTGTAAGAGCTTGTAACATGGTACTACTCACTTGATTCAATAGCATCCAGTTTCTGGAATGTCCCCAGGATATCCCCATTTATTATTTTGGGTAAGAAATCCCGCAATTGCATCACCTCCGTTGTCAGCCTTTCCAAATCCTTCCTTCTAACTTTAACAAATTCCTCTCTGGTTTCAGCCTTCTGAAATAAAAACAAACAAAAAACAAACCAACAACCAATCAAAGACACTGCTACAGCCTTCCAGTGCTTTTCTATATGAATCTCTTCTCTCAGACAAAAATATTCCTCAGTATTATATCATCTCAGAAATCCATAACCTTTTAAAAGAGAACTATCCAGTAATAATTAAACCCAGAAGTCTCCAAGATGGACTCTTTGACTGTAATCTAATTTTTGCCAGTCTGGCCTAAAGGAAATCATATGACCTCTCTGCATCTGTTTCTTCACCTAAAACATGTGCAATGTACCTCAGAATGCTGTAAAAATTAACATTCACATTTTAATAACGTGAGCAGCTATGCATACGCCAAGCTATTGTTTCAAGACTGTCGTAAAGGATACAATAACTCATTTTTTGACTTAAGTATTTGCAAGATCCTCAGTCACCTTGTTAAATTACAACAGCTCTCTTAGAGAAATATGTATTTTCCCAAAAGAATTCATCTTTTGTGAAGAGCTTTGCAACCCAATCCCACATAAAAGTAATTTAACCCCAAGTTAAGACAAAATGTTTACTAGTTTCCTCTTCTGCCATTAAGCTAATGTTATAAAATAACTTTAATTCCACAGTCCAAGAGAATGGGCATTAATTTTAATATTATAGACAAATTTCTATATCAAAGATCTCCTAAACTCCAAATTCTGCTGTATGTACATGTGCACAATGCTGCATCTTAAAAAGGCTACCATATACACACAGACATAAAGGTTTAACATCCTTTGCATAAAACATTAATCCACTAACAAGCTTTCACAAAGCAAAACTGTAATGTATCTTAGTATTGTTTCACGCTGCATTGAGAAAGGTGCAGCAAAAATGAGATGAGATCCTTTATGTACCACATCTTATTTCAGAAGGAAGAGGGTGCTACAGAACACCACAAGAAACTATCCACTGCAGGTACAAAACCTGCCATCCCCACAGTCCCTCGAGTCCAGCTGCACAAGACAAACGGAGGTCATTACCACTGATGCCAACAACACTACCCTGGCATTTCTATCCTTTCCAACCGTTTCCTACAATTGTCTCTTTCTGCTTCCCTACTTCTTCAGGTTAAATGTTTCCTTTCCATTGTGCTTCCTACCCTTATTTGCTGTCTTTCAAACCCAGACAGTTGTAAGGGCAGGACTGGCCGGTTCCAGCTTTCCCGGTTCAGAGGCACCAGAGCCACAGTTAAGTGGTATAGAAAAAATATTTTAACTTGAACTGTGTGCTCCAAGCTGCATTTAGGAAGCGCTCGTGCGAAGTTTGTACAGCCAAGTGCCACCACATTACATGATTCAAGAGAAATACAGCTCTTTTACGTCTCAGGAAAGCATGGAATAAACATATGGCAACAGGAGCCTATAGAAGAATACCACAAACAGGAAGGACAGCGAGGCAATTCAGCATCGCCCAAATTATGGAGCACCATTTGGTACAGGCATAAAGATAGAGCTGTTCACGGGCAGAAGCTAAATTCAAGTACAATACACTACTGAAGCACTGGGATTGAGATAAGAAATATGTGTTAAGGAGAAAATTCTCAGCCATGGTCCCCACTGTAAACACGCATCTCTACAGTTCCAACAGACAAATTTTCTCTGTTTAAGCAGCTCCTCAGTACCTGCCCACGCTAAAACAGAATGCTAGAGCAAACACAGACAATGGAGAACAAGCCGGAAGGTCCCTCACCCTTGCCCACAGACATACCACCAACCAAGGCTGTGCGCAGGAGCCCACCCCAGCCCCACACAGCCAGCCCATGGGGTCGAGGTCCCACCTGCCCCACACAACCCACTCCCTGTCACCCCACGGTACTAGGCCCCGCCATCACACCCCCAAGGCCCTCAGAGGCCCAGCGAGCAGCACCAACCACTGCCTCCTCCTTTTCCTTCCCCTCTTCCTCCCCCTTTTCCCTTCCCTCTTCCTCCCCCTTTCCCTTCCACTCCTCTTCCTTCCCCTCCTTTCCCCCCCC